AGGGAGGCGTGTGGGGCAGTGCGTTGGTGTTCGGATCAGGGGGTCACAGGTTCAAACCCCACTGCAGTCAGCATGTCGTTGTGTCCCTGGGCAAGACACTTCACCCCAAATTGCTCCTGTGGGGATTGCCCACAGTATCGAGTATGTAAGTCACTTTGGATAAAAGCATCTAACAAGTGAAATGTAATGTAACTACCTATTTATTTGTCTATTTCTGACAACATGTGGCAGGACATGGTTTTGAAAGAGCTTTATTTCTGTTTGCACAAAATGCCTTTTATCAATGGCTCAAAAATATTGGAAGTGCAGAGAGTAGTGTTCAATGCAGACTGCAAGACAGACCCAGAATGTATGACTGGAAGATACAAATGTGTCATGTCAGTGGTGCATGTAAAAAGTTATATTGACATGATTAGGAACATTTTGTGCATTTTCAGAACAGCACGCTGTGGATGAGCTTCTCCAGTTGTCAGCGAAGGGAGGTGACATCGATGGACAAGTGTTGGCTTACCTCGAGCTTGCACAGGTTTGTTCACAAAACTGTCTATTTACTTTTATCCCATTGATCTTAATATCATCAATAGTTTTTTTCTTACCTTTTTAAAGGCTTTTTCTTCTAAAGCTGTAAAATAACATCTTTAACAAGTATCTTCCTTCTGTTTTTGCAGTTCCACAATGCTAAGCAACTATCAGCTTGGTGTCTCCATCACATCTGCACAAATTACAATAGCATCTGCCGCAAGTTCCCCAAAGAAATGAAGGTCATGTCTCCAGGTAAAGTCACCTCCCCCTGATAATCTGCCTTTCACACATTCAGCTTTCCCCTCAGTTCATCTATTACACATTTTGAAACTTGTTGAAGCATTTGGTTGGAGTGGGAGAGATGTTTTTTTATTTGGTAAAACGAAAGGAAAACATAATAAAAATAGTAGTTGAAGAATCCCTCATGAGCTGTTTGCTCTCTAACATCAGGTACATTATAGACCACATCAAATCAAACATTTTATGAAGGTGTGAATTCATTTTACTATTAGGTTGTAATGTGATCCCAAGGAAGCAGAGCTTCTGCTCGAAAGTAAAACACTTTGATCTCATGGGTTTAATTCGTAAAAGAATCTTTAGTGACCTCACCTTATTCACTTGTCCTCACACCTTTATTGCTGTTGCGACTTTTTTATGTCATTATTATTCGAAATCCTAAATCCTTCATCTTTTTGATCACCTTTTCTGTCCCCCTCTCTGTAGATAACCAGAGGCACTTTGAGAAGCAGCGCTGGCCTCCTGTGTGGTTCCTGAAGGAGGAGGACCGCTATCTGCGCTCACAGAAAGAGCGCGAGCGTGAGGAGGAGATCTTACGCAAGCAGCACACCAAACGGGGCTGGTGTTTCTGGAAACATTCGTCCTCCTCTCCCCACGTCTCCTAAACGGTTTCTCCCATACTGTTCTTCATCCTGACCCGGATCATCCTACCCCTGAATAACTAACGCCCCCTGTAACACATATAGAGGATGTGGCTTTGAGTCCTCTAGCAGTGGCGAAATGACTCTCAGTGCTACTACGCCTGAATGTCAGCATGTTTGGGGGAATGTATGTGCCTCTTTATAAGTGTGGGTGACTTCATGAGTGCATTTTGGTAAGCTTGTGTGAAAAGGTAGGATTTAACTAAAGGGTGTGTCCATTGATGTGTGAGTGTATGTTTGCGGTTGGAATGATTGAGTAATGCTTCCGAGTTTATGCTTCCCAAACGCCCTGATCTATAAGGGCAGCAGCGTTGCATTGCAGCCCCTTGTCCCCTTCACGAGAGCTCCGCCCCCCCACCAGCACTCACAGTGTCCCAGCCTTTGAGTGATTGGACAGGGACCAAGGGCTCTTTATCTCTCTCAGTCTCCTTCCTTCACATTGACCTTAATGACTATACACATTAACCACTGCTGCTTCTCTCTGGAAGCTTACCTCTGCCTTCACTTCTACGCAGACTGTTAGCTTGCACATGCAGACTGGTGCAAAAGATCCTGCGCTCTAAAACCAGCACTGGAATCCCAGGAACTGACACATAACAATGTAATTATTATAATTTTAATATTATTTGATCTTTTTATCTGCACCTTCTTGGACACTTATCAGGGAAAATGACACACACTACTCCCAGGAAGTGAACCTTGATTACCATTGCAACGATGGGACTGTGCATCTGGAGTCTAAGTTTGGTAACCCTAAACCTGTTGGCAATTCGGGATGCTCCAGTCAGAAGGCTTGATCATAGCTATTAGCCTCCAGTCTAGTATTGAAGTGGTCCTTGGTGTCCATCATCCACCCCTGCAACTCCCACCGCCTCCTCCTGCTCACCACATGCGCATAAATGAGAAACACAAGCTCTCCTTGGTTGGATTCACCAATCTGCACTTCAGAGACATTCAAAGTGACCACTCTATAGCAATGATGGGGGTAAGGAGGGCTCGCCTTACTCGATGCCTCTGCCATTGAGGAATGATGGATGCAGTATTAAACAAATGTGCGTGTTACGTCCATTGCACCTCAGCCAGCCTGCCTTTACACCCCTACACCACTAGGGGCAGCACTGCTCAGGGCCCCGGCCCTAACCTTCGCACTAACAGGAGTTTTTGTGCCTGCGCTTGCGTTTAAGTTATTAAGTTTAGTATAACTTAAATCCTTGCAGAGTGTTGAGAGAAGGCTAAAGCCCAGTGTTAATATTGCATTTTAAAAACGGAGTTAATGTGACTTCATTTTTACGTAATTCTGAAAACCAAAGCTGTGATTGTTTTGATCGTTTTCTTTCTCACTTCCCTCTTTTCTGATTCCCTGCTTCCTATAGGGATGGAGGAGAAAAGAGAAAGTGGCTTGTGGGGGATGGAGGCCGTATGGTATTTTAATCCCTTCTCGTAGTGTTTTCAGCTTGTGGTGTCAGGAGAAATGTATAACTGCTGGACATAACATATAACTGGCCTTCCATTTATTTTTGCTGGAATTGAAAATGGTGCTTAAGACACAATAAGACAGTGTGCACATGAACAAACACACAAACATCGGATTTTATGTTCACAGTTTAGCGTGTATCTAGTTATTTAGTGTTGACCTGCGATTAACGGGCAAAATATTAATGATGGTATTCAACTGTCATTGTTTGACCTTACATTTTCTTCTCCAAATGCTAGTCTCTAAGAGGTCCTAATAGGTTGTTCATTTTAGAATGTGTAGATTTCTCATTTTACATACAGTGGTAACAATTTTAAAGGGTTTTAAATCCTACTGAATTCAAAAACATTGGTGTGTTCGGTTATGCTTCATTGTTAAACAGGAAAATGATATTACCTGAGATTGAATTTGAAATTGTGAGGTTCCTCTCAAAGGATTTGATATATTTCTGCAGATGAAAGCAAATATGATTTTCTCGTTAAGGGTGCTAATTTCTTTGGGATTCGTCACTGAATGTGAAAATGAGACTTTGCGGCGGCAAGTTTTTCCATTAGCATGTTGTTCTATTTGTGGGTTTGCACCCCTCAGCTTTAGCCAGGCAACGGTAGGAGATAGAGAGATGGTGTTAGACATGTGGTGCATTCTGACGATCACCATGGGAGGTATGTTAAAGTCATTGTCGGCTACAGAAATAGAAGTCAGACTGGATCCCACGAGACCCAAGTGAGATTGAGCTGATTCCTTTCAGAAAAGAGTGAAAGTGGTGGAAAAATTGAACAAGTCTCAGCCAGCATTACATCCAACCTACATAATTTGGATTTACTACTGTTTCAAATTCATCCCATTGCAGTGCTTTGGGAATTAAGAAATAAAATAAAATAAAGGCTTGGAAAGTTTCTGATTGACTTCCATGGGCACCTTTTAGTTTCTAATAGAAGGGGTGGCTATTAGCTTTGGCTTATTGATGGTTGGTATGACCCATTAAGACTCTTCTTGTGGTCCGTGTGCCTTATAGTTGGACAAAACAAAAAATTAGATTGGGATTTTAGCGAGATCTTAGTTTAAACACGCAGACAGGTGCTGCAGTGTTTGACATGATGGATACAGTATACAATGTTCATGATAGTTTAAGAGCTGTAAAACGGATGACCGTGTTGCTATATACACTCTTAGCCATTATAGTTCCTGAGGGGATTTTTGAGCCAACTGGAGCCATGCCTGTGGACAATATTCAGGCCTGCTGCTGGTTTATATGCAGACAAATGGCCTTAAATGAAACTCTTTGTAGAGTGTAGTACAGTAGGTTCGACTAATCATATAGCCTTGAATAAGCATGTTTTCCAGATTGGTAATAAGGTGGATGAACAATGACACCATGGTTGGACATTTCCACTATTGATTGAGAGGTAGTGATAAAATTGGACTTACAGGTTGATTCCTATACTGTAATTTCAAAACCACTGACTTTGAGAAAACAGCTTTTTAATGAGCACTGGCTGGCCTGTGTGCTGGAAAAGTGCTACTACTTTAACATTGTGGTTGATTTGCATGGTGGCCTAACTTTGTCATTATAATGACACTTGGTGTTGGAATGCACTTTCTTCTTTTTTTGTATATGACTATACCTTTCTGTGCTTAGCATGAATTGTTCCTTATGTAAGATTGTTTTTGAAACCTGATGATTGTAGCATGATATTTCCACTTAAGTCTTTCAGAATTTCCCACAATTTGCTCAGTGATGAGCTGAAAAACACGACAATGTCCAGCTTCTTTACTTAGTTGGTAACAAACCCCACAGTAGCTGTGGCTTTATGCACAACTCAGTGTTAAGAAATAAACTCAGCACAGCTCAAGGTAGCATCACTAATTATAAAACATGCTGGGACATTTGCTTGAAAAAAAGGCAATGCAGAGGATCTGTTGCTGCTGTGCAGCTGTCCCCATTATGCTGTTACTGTATTTACTGCAATCAGTTAAGCCTGTTCTTCTGATTTGTAAGATACTGGGTACAGGGCCAAACCTGAAAACCATCATAGCAACATTTACATTTAAATCATGCTCCGTTATGCAAATATTTTTAAGAATTTCCCAAATGGCTAAAGGCCAAGTGTAATGTCTGGGTTTAGCCTGTATGTATACAGTCTATGGTAATGACAGATGAATGGGGTAAAACATGATGTATGTTTCTGCTGTTAGACAGATGCATGAGTATATACAGCAGCGTTTCTTAACCTTTGGGCCAGGACCCTATTTCAGGTCACTTGGTATGCATTTGGTGTAGTGGGATATTTCTTAAACTAAAATGATAAATAAATATTATACAATGAAAATGTTGGGATAAAGAGACGGGGTCATGGGCCAGAAAAGGTTAAGAAACCCTGATATACAGAGAGGGAGAAACGGAGATTCTACATTTGAACTTTTAAACCTTGTTGGCTTTATTCAGCCCTCAGTTTATGCTCCACACTGACCCCTACAGACCAAAGCCACACTGAGAGTGGGAGATAAGGTTTTGGTATTCATCCTGATTGTCTTGTTCTATCCTATCACATCCTTTTTACTGTCACATTCGCTTTTCTTCCTTCTCCGCAGGCCTGGCTTTCCTTTTTAAATGTCAGGCCTAGTCATTGAGAGAACACCTTGTTTTTAGTCTTTGGTGTGTCCTTTCCTGTGCCTTCAGTGAAATCTCACTCTTTTGGCTCTGTACAGGCTGGCGGCGCTGCACCTGCAGCCTCTTGGGCTCAAAATAAAGTTGATCAAGCCAAGAAATACCCACCTAAGTACAGAAATAAAAGTAGGCAGCTTTCTTTAATGTACATTATCTTAGCACTGGCTATTTGGGTCTTAGTGAAAACTTCCAATTATGAGACAGAAATGGAGCTTTATAGCATGGTATTTCATCTATGCTAAAGCTGCGCAATTTAAATCATGAAATGACCAAGAAACCCAGCAAACCAGCAGTTTTAAAATAATGTTTTGCACTCTTTCAGGTGCCTGCACTTTCTATCATGTAGCTTAATACATCATTTTTGATAAGTACGTTAAGTCTTTATATTTACCAGTTTTCTTCATCCAAGTAAAATATATTATTTATTTTCCAATTTTGTGTGATATATTTCTCTCTAAGCCAAATGTAATAGTTTACCTTAATGCTTCCACTATTTAGCAGCAATGTATTAAGTTGCAATCCGGCATAAAATCAGATGGGGATCAGATTTGGACTACTGGTTGGATAAAAGGCAGATATTAGCTGTGACAACTATATATATTATGCTTTAATTATGATAGTTGTTATCCAAAGTACAGTACACTGTTGTCATTTTGAGTCACAGCTGGATTTAACCATTCACTTTATAACTGCCACCACACTGTATTGATATACTAAGCTAGTGTATGCTGTATAGGATTGTAAGCAAAGAAAGGAGAGAGAGAGTGTTTGTATAGACACACGACGTGTGATTAATCCCAGGTCTATATACTGTCATTCTTAAGTGGAACGTGTAAACTGTATGTATTGTTACAAACTTTAGTTTCCATTGACTCATACATTGAGTTGTATTAACATTTACTGCTTATATAATTGTGTGTATTACTACAACAACAGGCAAAAGAAAGAACACACCACACTCACAAAACTATTAAGGGCTTTCAAGAAAACATACAACAATCAGAATGTTTTGCTGCTGTTGCAAAAATGTTTTGGAACTTCAAATTTGTAATATTTTTCAACCACTGTGATTTGTACAAAATTAAAAATAAGTTAGAAAAAAGTTGTTTTCCTTTTATGCCATTTCAGTATTTTGATGTTTGACATGGATTTTATTAAACTGTTAATCTTTTGAACTTGTCTGATATTTGTTTTTATTGTGTTTTCTGTATAATGTATGTCTTTCTGATATAAAAGTCTGTTCTTTTCTGGACTTAATGATACTCAATTTCAAGATGCAATTCAATTGCATAATTTAACTTTTATTTAGGGTAAGACCCACAAAACAATATAAAACATTAACAACCAACATAACATCAACGATCAACTCTCATATCCTACATGAGTGTGTTAAAATCCTAAAACAATATAAAAACACCAACCATCAATAATCAATTGTAATATTGACAAGGAATAACTATTTAAAGCATTCACAGAACTCACCATCACCTTTATTCATTAAGGAGGAAATGTGAAATGATAAAAGTAAATACAAAATAAAACTAAGGCAAGTTACGGTACAAGTGATGATGGATTTTTGGCTAAACTATATTGCAGTAAGTGTCTCTTTTAACAGTTCGACATATCAAAGGAAAGGAAAAGGAAAGCAGGAAACAGTATCCCCCTCCTGAACCCAAAGTCTCCCACAATGCATGCAAACGGACACATTTGATGCAACTCTGCCACCTAGTGGAAAGAAACTGTACTATGATTCATGTAATACATTTTCTTTTGGGAATAGATTCAAAACCTATTCTATTTGTTTTGCGTATGCATTGCCACCCAGGGTACAGCAGTTCAAGGTCTTCTGGCTGCCTCTCTACGATAAGCAGGAGATTCTTTGAATGATTTACAATACCCAGAGGTTTAGGCCCTCTGAGATGCCCAAAAGAAAGATCATTGATGATAAATGTTTTACTTCACAAGAGTTACCTGAATTAATTCATGTTGAGGTGTACATGGATATACGCATGTACATCATCATGCTTTATTGATTGATCTTGATTGTAATTAAAATACAATTAAGAAAAACATGTGAAACACCACAATCATCTTCTATCTTATCATCAATACCTTATTTTCTCAGTAATCATTTTAAAAGATGTCCTCGAAATATTCTAGGAATTGCACTGTTTTAAATGTTTATACCTTTATTTTATTTTGACTTTTTCTTAAAAACTGAATCAGATTGAACCAGCAACTCTCATGGAGGGGTTCCTTCAGCACATGCATCATGGAGATCAACATGCTGTGAGCAGAGACTTTTAATAGAGCAAATCTGGTGAGGGATCCCAGAAAGCCACAGAAACATGGGGGAGTGGGCCGAGTGTTCCCATGGTGATGTTTAGTGATGTGGCTGATGATGAGAAACTTGATGAGGTAAGATGGCGGTTGTGGGAAATTGAACATGTGTGTCCATATGCCATCATAACACATGTGTTTGCATGTGTGTTACAAGACTTCTTGGAAAACACAGCAGTAAACCTGCATTAATACGCCTTGACAACCAATGACGTACACCAGTTCCCTCTTACTCTAGTAAATTGAGATATTTACTAGAGGGTGTTCTGCAGCGGAGACCTCAGCTTCATCCATGGTCGCGAGCATCGGTTTGAACACTGATTACAGACTTTTATGCTGGGTCAGCTGTTTGATCTGTAAAATGTGTTCAAGTTTCCCAACAACTTTGCCCCTCCTCTCGCACCGCAGCATCGGAGAACACAGTTTAAGATTCACAGACACGTGCTGACATCACAACATCTGGCTCTCATTTAGCAGGGCTCCCGTGGGAGTATAAGAAGATCTGAATCTGAGAGAAAAAGACAAAACACTGTCCAACAGTCCAGATTGTGAATGTGTTAGCATCTTTATTGACCATACAGGTACGATAGAAGCTAAACATAGATGAATCTTCTACGATGCTTGAGGAAGAATACGATGATTTAAATATAATATAGGATGTTTGATTTAGGACAGCACTTTTTTATGTTCACAGTCTTAGCTGATCAAGGGTAGGATTGTATTTGAGCTGAGCTTCAAAGCTTCCATGGCTACAATCATAAACCTTACACACATACAATATCACACACATTTCGTGGATATTTTATAAGCGGACCAAACTTAGAAATGAGGTCACTTGGTTAAGGAGGGACCGACAAATTCCTTCCTCTATTTTACCGTCCTTCAAGTGTCATGTAATCTCATCTACTTGTTGTTGGTCCAGACCTCCCGAAGCTCTGCTCCATAAACAAAACTGTCTGCCCCCCACCCCCCCAGCACGCACACACCTCTAAATCAAGGCCTCTCAGAGCAAAGTTTATGAATACCTTATCATCCTGACACCACGGTCTAATTTAAGGCCTGTTTCGTATAGGAGGCGGACATGGAGTTCCTTTTTTAACGAAGACTTGTGGTCTCTTTCTATTTCTGCATAACCCTGCCATTTGCTTACGCTTGTCATATTTCACTTTAGCAAGGCAACCTCAAAGACTTGTGTCGGTAAAAAGCCTTTGTTTAAGTGCAGTAAAGGTGAGAATGAAGCAGTTTACAAAGAAAGAGCAAATCTCACAAATGCAAACAAAGACTCTCTCACACACACACACACACACACACACACACACACACACACACACACACACACACACACACACACACACACACACACACACACACACACACACACTGAGGCTCAAGGGGAAGATATCTCAAGTGTGTTGTGAAGGCGCATAGCTGAGCAGTGATCTCACCTGGAACCCGATGAGAAGACACCCAGATTCAAAGAAAATGTGCAGACCTCTCTCGCTCTCTCTCTCTCTCTTTCTCACACGCACACATGCACACACTCTCACATAAAAGTGCATCTATGGCCATGTATTATTGCATTGTGTCTTTTTCCCCCTCTTTCCAACAACTATCTTTCTTTCCAACTTTGCCACATATGTATCTCTGATGCTTCTCTTTCTTGTATCACGCCGGTCTGATCTAAATCTTTTTTTTTAAATCCAAGTCATCTGCTGGTACGTTTGTGAGTTCAGCTATCAGATAAATGTTCACAAAACACTAGTGACACATTCCTACTCACTTGTATCATTGCCACTTGAGAGCCTCACCAACATCCATAGTTTTGAAAGATTTGTCAGGCTAGTCGAACACTTTTTACTCAGTAAAATCACATAGCAAACATACATTTTCTGTCCTGAGCTTGACCGTAAAAATCTGCCATAAAAAATATTTACTTCCTAAAACAGAGCTTTATTTATTATCTATTAAAGTAATTAAAAAAAACAGGAAGGCAGAACAAATGTACTGGGTAATAAACATTAAATAGTTACTATAATGCTAAGGCGGCAGGTTTACACAGGCGACATTGCTTGATGGTCTCCATGGGATGAATAAATAGTATATGCAGCAAGGTCTGACTTGTTTGAAATACAACTGGCACATAAGGTACTCAAAAGTCAGGACACATTCCAGCTGTTCATGCTGTAAAACAGTAAATTCACAAGACGATGGGTTAATGTCATAGGAAAGGCTGTATTTATGACAACTTGAACAGAAGATTACAACTGTTCATACACGCAAATATGAAAGCACATGCTCACACATAAAGAGTAGGTCAATTCTGGCCTTTCATGCTGAGAGGAGAAGTGGAGAACATGTTATTAGAGAAGTATTGGACAACAAGGGGACAAAGCTCAAGCTGTGACCCCTCAACCCAAACAGATCTCTGACCTTTTGACCCTACCCATCAGGCCTGAGCACACATAAACCTGCCATGCAAGCCACGGCACATGGAAAACAGGATTTGAACCAATCCATGCCTAAGTGGTTAGTTCAGAGGTAAAAAGTTATTTTGTATGGTGAAATGGAGGCCAAATATGGATAGCGATAATTTTTTGTATGATATGTAATGCCAAGCATCATTAGAGCAACAGTAACTTGTTCAACAACTCAATGAATTGTCTCAGGGACTTGCTGATGAGTGGAGATTTAAAAGTGGTCTTAGAGACGGCGGGAGGATGTTGCGTGTGACTGGACCACTCAACACTTTGTCACCCACACTGAGTTAGTTTAGACTATGTCAGGAAGGCAGGAAGCTGAACCAAAAGGCTGTGACAATTAGAGGAGTTTCAGTAAATAAGGAGAAAATCCCCACTAGCACACACAACACACACACACACACACACACACACACACACACACACACACACACACACACACACACACACACACACACACACACACACACATCTCCAAATCCCCATTGGACATACAATCATTCCCACATTTAGACCCCATCCCCAACAACAGCTGCCACCGCACCCCAGCAAAGGAAATGCCAAAGTCCTCTGAAGTGGAGCATAACAGCATTGCAGTTCACATCCACTGTGAAGAGCTAAGAGGCTGGAAGGGCAGGAGAGCCTCTAATAGCAGGAAGTTGTAAGAATAATAGCGGCATGGGGATGTCATGCCCCCTGTCCCTTTGGCATGCAAGCTTTGGCCCAAACACAAGAATCTGTGTGCTTGCTTACACAGCTAGTGTAACATTTTTCACACAACTTACATTATAAGGGTTTACCAGACGTGAGCTTAAAGGAAAAAAATGTTTACTTTTCCAAACAAAAGAGGTTTGGCTTTACAGTTGAACAACATTGTGCCAGAGTTGTGTCACAATTTTTACTTTTTTGAAAAATAACGTTACTTTTATTGTGTTTTGTTACACCAAAGATAGTCTTTATTTCACAGATGCTACCCATCTCTAATTTAATTAATACAATTATGTTTAAAAAATGCTTTGTATTTGCAGTCTATAATATTTTCCCGGACTCATCATTAAGAAACTGTTATAATCTTAAAGATGAATAATGTACCAAAGGAAGGTGACTAAGAAATGGAAACTCTTTGCCTTAAAAGGAAATAGTTATTTTCACAAGGGATAGTGCCGGGTGATTGAGTAAATCCAATATTGACCAGGATTACTCATGAGCCACTGTGAACTGTTTTCAGATCAAATTGTAGCAATACAAAACATGGCATTGTGTTTTAAATGTTAGGAAAAGAGATCCGAAATCAAATGTCATTAAGCCAAATAAAGCCAGAGTCTGACACACCAGATAATAAAAACCTGTGACT